TGACGTCAATACAGTCAACTCTGCAACCTCCACTTCCGGCTCTGCCGCAACTAGAACAACCGCCACTGAAGCTGTGCCAAAACAAATACTTCAAGTTTGGATGATGAACTGATGGAATTACGCAAACGTCTTGAGGTAATAAAATTGATAAAAGAGATAGACGACATGAAGGCTGGCACCGTTCTACAACAACAGCGTAGAGTAATTTCGCAGACGTGAGCACGCTATCCCAAAGTTTAGTGGGGATGACGTATCATTACGGTTGAACACTTTCTGCAAGATTTTGAAGAGGTGATGGAGTCGTCAGGAGTGGATGAGCGATTCAAATTATTGGCTCTTCGTCGTTGCCTTATTGGAACCGCAAAGGTTTTCCTGTCCACGACAAAAGCACTTAATTATGGTGAGCTAAAAAAAGCTCCTTTAATTGAAGTCGACGTGCCGGTGCAGAGACATGAAGTGTACAAAATGCTATCTCAACGGAAGTGGGATAAGAAAAAAGAATCCCTACATTGTTATGTTCTATCAATGCAAGCCATAGCAAAACGGGCAAGCATAGGCGAGGCAGAGGTCATCGATTTCATAATAGACGGCATAGGCAATGCGGTGCCAAATGCGCACATACTTCTACCAGCTAGAACACTGGACGAGCTGAAAACGTTGGTCAGCCGGTTCCAGAGGAAATATTTTCCGTCAGAACCAACAGTGGTAGTGAAGCAACCAACTGCAGCAAGAACAAATTATGGCAAACCGGTGGCAGGATCGAAATGTTATAACTGCTCCAAAGACGGGCATATCAAACCACACTGCCCGTACCCATTACGGCCGAATGGATCATGCTTCCGGTGCTGGCGTATGGNTAACGCGGTGCCAAATGCGCACATACTTCTGCCAGCTAGAACACTGGACGAGCTGAAAACGTTGGTCAGCCGGTTCCAGAGGAAATATTTTCCGTCAGAACCAACAGTGGTAGTGAAGCAACCAACTGCAGCAAGAACAAATTATGGCAAACCGGTGGCAGGATCGAAATGTTATAACTGCTCCAAAGACGGGCATATCAAACCACACTGCCCGTACCCATTACGGCCGAATGGATCATGCTTCCGGTGCTGGCGTATGGGCCACGATCATCGTTCCTGCACAAATCCAGCTAAGGTACTGAAGCCTCGCAATGAGGTGGCAGCCATAGGTGATGAAGACGATAATCAACCATTGGGGGATGTAGTTAATGCATTCAATTTTGTGAGTATCACATTTGACTTAGATCAAGGTTCAATTTCTGATACACTTTTTTCTTTATTTGATACCGGTAGTCTGGTTAGTTTCGTACGGAAATCTTACGTCCCAAAACAATTGGTCGAGAATCTAAACCAGGGAAACCCCCCAAGATACAAAGGCATCGGGGGAAAGAATGTTCATATTATTAATAAAATATCTTGTTATGTAAAGTTTAATAAAAAACTGAATAAAATTGAATTGAACGTTATACCTGATGATGCTATGGTTATACCAATTATTTTGGGACGCGATTTCCTCAGTATATTTAATATCAGATTAACGAAAATCAAGACAAAAGGTAAACAAGTTACTGATGTAGGGGGCAAAAGTAATTTAGATTTGCCCGAGACTCCTCAACCTGTAATTGGTTCTAAAGCATCCTCATTCATGGCGCAGTCCAGTTTTGATGAAAACAAACACCTTTCGAGAAATTTAACTGCCGATAACTGCCGGGAAAAGATTAATGCCAGCCCGATTGGTTTACCTGATATATTTCACATAGACATTCCTTATGACAGAATCGAGGTTGATATAAATGACGTTCTTACAAAGGATGAAAGTTTTAAATTGAAACAAATTATACAGTATTTACCTTAACCCTAATATGAAATGTGAACCTCTTAAATATGAAATGAAAATTAGACTAAAAAGTGAAGTTCCCTTCTACTGTAGTCCTCGTCGACTGTCGTACCTTGAACGTAGTGAAGTACGAAATATCTTAGATGAACTTTTGAATGAAAACATAATAAGACCAAGCGACTCTCCATACGCCTCTGCCATTGTGCTGGTCAAGAAGAAGACCGGGAAAACTAGAATGTGTGTGGATTACAGGCCACTCAACAAATTAACCCTTAGGGACAACTACCCATTGCCGCTTATTGACGACTGCATAGAGTATTTACAAAACAAGAGATTCTTTTCGGTGCTGGATTTGAAAAGCGGATTTCATCAGGTCCAGATGGCTTCTGATTCTATACCATATACGTCTTTCGTAACCCCGCATGGACAGTTTGAATACCTGAAAATGCCATTTGGGCTGAATAATGCTCCCGCGGTATTCCAAAGGTTTATCAACAACATTTTTCGAGATATGTTAGATGAGAAAAAAATTATTATTTACATGGACGATATAATTATCGCCACTGAAAGATTTGCAGAACATGCCGAACTTCTGAAATTGGTATTAGAACGAATCACGTTACGCACTCTGAAACTTAATTTAAATAAATGTAAGTTTGGTTATAAAGAAATTGACTATTTAGGTTACAAAGTTACACATGAGGGAATATCACCTAGTAATTCTCATATTAAAAGCATACAGAATTTTCCGGTACCTACGAATTTGAAGCAACTACAGTCATGTCTAGGAATGTTTTCGTATTTTCGAAGATTTGTGCCGTCGTTTTCAGAAATTGCTAAGCCCCTGCAGAATTTACTTAAAAGGAATACCCAATTTCACTTTGATGACAGATGCCATGATGCTTTCCGGGAGCTGAAGTCTAGGTTGGTTAAGAGCCTTGTTTTGGCTATTTATAATCCTAATAAGGAAACTGAATTGCATTGCGATGCCAGCAGTATCGGGTTTGGGGCAGTCTTACTGCAACGCCAGGAAGATAACAAATTTCACCCGATATCGTATTTCTCCAAAACTGCTTCTGGCCCTGAATCAAAATATCACAGTTTCGAACTGGAAACGTTGTCTATAGTGTACGCACTAAGAAGATTTAGACATTATTTGGAAGGTATACCGTTCACATTGGTCACCGACTGTAATTCCCTCGCGATGACCCTCGATAGGAAACAATTAAACCCTAGGATAGCCAGATGGGCTCTTGAATTTGAAAACTATAACTATAAAATACAGCACAGGAAGGGTGTCTCAATGGGTCATGTGGATGCTCTGAGCAGGAGGCAAATAGCGGCAATCATAAATTCAGATGAGGTGGAATTTCGAATTCAGGTAGCACAAGAAAGAGACCCAGAGATTCGATCTGTACGGGAACGGTTGGAGAAAGAGGAACTAAAAGATTTTAATTTGATTGACGGGTTGGTATATAGAGTTAAACCAAACGATAAAGACGCGCTTTATGTACCATATGAGATGGAGAATAACGTCATAACGCTGATACACGAAAAGATGGGTCACCTATCGTTAGACAAAACTCTCAATAAGCTAGGTCTTTATTATTGGTTTCCGAAAATGCGCGGGAAAGTCGAAAAGTTTATAAAGAATTGTTTAAAATGCATTATGTATGCCAGCCCTCCTCATGTTAAGGAGAAAGCGTTATATCCCATTCCCAAGACGCCTTTACCGTTTGATACGATTCACATTGACCATTTTGGACCCCTGCCGTCATTAAAGTCAAAACGTAAGCACATTTTGGTCGTGGTAGATGCCTTTACTAAATTTGTCAAGTTGTATCCGACGAACTCCACAAGCACTCGAGAGGTCACAGCAGCCCTTGGGAAATATTTTAATTACTATAGTCGCCCAAGACGCATTGTGAGCGATAGAGGGACCTGCTTCACTTCTCTCGAATTTTCCGCCTTCTTGTTGAAAAATAATATAAATCATGTAAAAGTCGCGGTGGCATCCCCTCAAGCTAATGGTCAGGTAGAAAGGGTGAACAGGGTATTGAAGGCAATGTTAGGGAAGTTGACTGATGAAATAAACCACGACGACTGGGTTCAGAGATTATTGGAGGTCGAATATGCGTTAAATAACTCTGTTCACAGTACGTGCAAGGAGACTCCGAGTCGGCTGTTGTTCGGGGTGGAGCAGAGGGGCGTAATAGTTGATGAATTCACCGAGTACTTTCAGGATAAGCTTTGTCCAGACAGTAATAGGGATTTGGAAATTTTGCGCAATGATGCATTAAGTCGAATTGAAGCAAAGCAAGAATATGATTCTAAACGAGCTTCTCAAGGTGGGACCGCGACCAAGACGTACGAAGTAGGGGATTATGTTGTTATAAGGAATGTCGACAATACTTGCGGGAGTAATAAAAAATTTATTTCTCTGTATAAAGGTCCGTACGTCATACACAAAGTGCTCGGTCACGATAGGTATGTTATACGGGACATTGATAATTGCCAGCTCACACAACTGCCATATGATGGAGTTGTGGAGGCGTATAGGATCAAAAGCTGGCCTTCGTTACCTGAAGGGGAGGCAAACGAACCAAATGAGGATCCTTTAGAGATTAGTTAGCTTTAAGCCGTACTGTATCGCGGTCGATTACAGTGTCAGATTGGCCGAGCTGTAAGCAACTTGTAATTCAATATGTGATTTTATGTTAACATGTAAATCAGCCTTAATAGGGAAACCACCTTGTATAAGAAACACAACTCTGTAATAGAAACACAACCCTGTAAAACTAATAAAGAAAGAATGAAGAGAGAAAATGAATAAAGAAATAAGATGGCTGATTTCCGGTCGGCGATTATTCTTCGTGACTTAAATCGATCAACAAGTGTTTTAATTAAATCTTTGAACATCGTCGATAATTGGAAGAGGAAATAGTAATTTACAATTTATAAAAATGTTAGAGTGAAGTTAATTTGATTGAATACTGAGAAAAGTAGGAGAAACTAGTAAACGCAACATTGCTACATTGTAAGAAGAGGATAACAATATAGTCAGCAGAAAGCAGTAAGACTGGCGAGTNTACGATCAACAAGTGTTTTAATTAAATCTTTGAACATCGTCGATAATTGGAAGAGGAAATAGTAATTTACAATTTATAAAAATGTTAGAGTGAAGTTAATTTGATTGAATACTGAGAAAAGTAGGAGAAACTAGTAAACGCAACATTGCTACATTGTAAGAAGAGGATAACAATATAGTCAGCAGAAAGCAGTAAGACTGGCGAGTAACTACAAAACACAAAGTGGAAGTGGTACCAACAGATAGTAAGTTTAAGAATATTTGGAAGTAGCAGAGCCAAGAGCATTGCTATTAATTATAGGTACATATTTCAATATGAAAGAGTAAAGAGGAAAATAGATTGCTTTGAAGATCATAAGTTTGAAATATAGTAACCAAAACAAACAAAGACAACCGAAGTGAATATTCTAAAGCGGATGTGCACAAGCTTGAAATTTACATAACTACGATATATGCTTATCGTAACTTTTAAAATATAAAAAAATATCTACCACTATCAAAGTCAAGATTATCTGAATGAATATTATACAATTCTACAAAATTTAACTTTTTAATATTATCTGCCTAAATAAAGCGTTAAAAATTACATACTAAAAGATTATTTATAACAACGATTGTTGTAACAAACTTATAATTATATTATTATATTATACTTTTAATTTAACTGCATATTCTTGAACTAAATCTTAACATTTATAACTTTGTAAGACCATGGACGCCCAGACGATCTTAGTAATGACAGTAGAGACTTTAAAATAAAATTTGAGGCGGGTTGACTTAAGCGTACAAGGACGTAATAGTGAACTTAGGGACAGACTTCTTCGGCATTATGAACTCCTACAGAGCGACGGTGAAGAAAGCGAAAGAGAATCAGCTTATGAACAAGCAGTCAATCATACTACACAAACCGTAGTGATGAGACCTAACTTTACTTTAAAGGACATTCAGGACAGCCTACCCTCGTTTACCGGAACCGACACTTTAGACGTTTATGACTGGGTACAGTAGTTCGAAGATAACGCTATTACATTAGGTTGGAGTGAAAGTATGTGTACGCAAAACAGCTACTTAAAGGGACAGCCAAGCTATTCTTGCGCAGTCAGGCTGGTATTAAGGACTGAAATTCATTAAAATCGTCTGTCATTGATGAGTTTGGCAGACAATTATCCTCGCTTGATATTCATAGAATGTTGCAAAGTCGTCGTAAAAAGAGCTGTGAGTCTTTCAAAGAGTATTTGTATACTCTTATGGAAATAGCAGAGCCAATAAAATTAGATGAAGTTAGTTTAATTGGGTATATTGTGGAGGGTATTCCCGATTCAAGAGCGAATAAAATTATACCGTATCAGTCACAAACTATTAAAGATTTAAAAGAAAATCTGAAGGTCTACGAAAGGGTTCATGGTTCGCGACTGTCATCAAACAGATCGCACTATGGTCAAAATACACCCAAGGCATCAACCTCACAAAGTAGTACAGAAGGACCGAAAAAATGTTACAAGTGCTCATCTACCTCGCATCTGGCAAAAGATTGTAGCAATGCGAGTAAACAGTATAAATGTTTCAAGTGTGGTCAAGTAGGACACCGAAGTTTTGAGTGTATGGGAGGTTCAGGAAAACAAATAAAAACGTTAACACCATGCTCAATTCAATCAGGAATCACGCCAGTGGTTTAATCTTTAAGAGGATACAAATGGGGAATGTTGTTGTCGATGCTATGGTTGATACGGGGTCCGATTTGAGTTTAATTAACTATAACACTTTTCGAAAGTTGAACTCTCCGGAATTGAGTAGCGAGAAACGACGATTAATAGGTATAAAAGAAAGTGAATTGAACACAATAGGTAGTATAACAAGAGAAATTAACGTAGACAGTGTTACAGTAGAAGTTACTTTTCATGTTACTAAATCTAATGACTTGCGCTACGAAGCTGTACTTGGAAACGATATCCTGAAAAAGGTAGATATCTCGTTTTCGGAAGGCACTGCTGAATTTAAACAAAAACCATAAATAGGCGCCGGTAATAAGACCGATGAAATCCATAATTTACTGTTAAGAGAGTTTACAGCACTTTGTTTAGAAAATGAATTGGTTAGTATAAATGGCGATCCGCCATTGAAGTTATCGCATTTTCCCTCAGATAAACGCGACATAGTAACTGGCATGGTAGAGAACTACGCTCCGGTACCGAACTCTAAATCCCCAGTTGAAATGAAAATTATCGTATCTGATGATATGCCCATCTATCAAACGCCGCGTAGAGTTTCGTACTCTGATCAACGCGTAATAGACGAACAGGTAAAATGGCTGAAAGATGGAATAGTTCAGCAAAGTAACTCTGAGTATGCATCGCCCGTTGTCTTGGTTTCAAAAAAGGATGGCACCAAGCGGTTGTGTTGTGATTTTAGAAAATTAAACGAAAATATACTGCGAGACAATTTTCCAATGCCACTTATTGATGATGTGTTGGAGAGA